CCCTGAATTGCTGTGTCCGGCTGTGGAGCCCCCGGCACAGGAGGGACATGGAGCTGCTGGAGTGGGGCCAGGGGAGCCCCAGCAGGGATGGGAGGGCTGGAGCACATCTAAATCTCATTGCTGGGTGATCTGCTCGGAGCTGGTGGCTGCACCTTGCGTGTGGTTGTGCCTCATTCAGGTGGAGAACCCATGGTAGAAGTTGCACAGGGGGAGAAGATAAATCTGGACTCTCACTCCAGCATCATTAGAGAAGCACTTCACGACTACAGCCACTCTTAATTTGCTGTAATTAGACTTTGAAGCAAACACTCCAGTGAGGAGGAAGAAGGGGAAGTGCCTTCACACCTGTCTTGCTGCTGCAGCCTGGCTGGCTGCCCACCCCTGGGCGAGGAGTGAAGGCTGGAAACTCTCTTTGAGTTACACCTTGGAATTCCTGTTGACACTCAGGGGGTGTTTCCAATCTCGTGGTGCTTTTGGTGGTTTCTGGATGGGATGTGTGCACTTTGGAGGAAGGTGAGGCAAAAGATTTGCCTTTTAGATGGGCACGTGTCAAGGTGGACAGAGCCAGTCACCCATACCTGCTGCCCAAGGGTTGGATGCTTTGGAGCAGTCACTGCTTGAGCTGTGTGAATGGAGAATCAGATGGATGTCTTTCTGATGTGGACACCTGGGGCCTCATATGGGCCAGCATGAGGCTGGAGTCGTTCCACCACAGCCAGTGAGCTTTTCTGGATGAGACAGTGAGTTGTGGCTGCTCAAATCCATGGGGTCCCACCAGCTCCCGGGGCAGTGGCCTTGGGGGTCCCTGCTCTAATCAGGCTTTGATGGGTTTTGGTCTGTTCTGTGTTGGGGCATGGGGTGGGATCGAGAAGAATGCTTGGTGGCAGGTAGAGGTGGGAGAGGTTTCTCTTTGTGATGTTCTTCCCTGCTTCCTCAAAGCCTCTCACAACCACTGCTGATCCCCTTGCTGAGGTGGGATGTGCCCAGCACTCAAGGGATGGAGAAGCCTCCTGGAGCAAAGGTGGTCAGGGTTGCCAGGGAAGTCTAACCTGGGAGCTGAATGCAGATACCCTGAGTCTGAGCAGTGCCCAGCTCACCAGACTGAGCTTCTTGCCCTCCCCAGTGCCCTCCGCTGGCCAGGCTGCTGGGCTGACCCCAGAGAGCTCAGCTGGGCCTTTGGAAACAACCATAGGAGACATGAGCAGTCCTGTCTCCAGCCATAGCCTTATCTCTGGGTTGCAGAGCAGCACCTTGACATCAGGACCACAGCAGGCTGCCTTTGTGGTGGTGAGGAGAGCATCGTCCCCCCCCTCCCAGCAGCAGCAGATGAAAAGGCTGGATGACAAATTATCCATCTCCGGCTGCTCATTGTGTAGCACATTTCTGCCATCCTTATTAATATTCAACAGGCAGATGAATAATTGGTTGCCACCACTAGGATGAAGTGATCCTTCACTCTGCCCAAGCAATATTCATTTCACACTCTGTCTGGAAACGTATCCTCTTTTCCTTCAGCATGTGGCCCACGGTTGGTCGGGCGGAGTGGGCTCCAGGTGGGCCTGGCTACAGGTGGCCATGCCAGGCTGGGAGCACTGGTTGGGCTGGCCTCTAACTGGGACCAGGGAGGGTGTGATGCGTGGGGACGTGGCTGCCTCACCCTCCTTTCTGTTAACATCTGGGTTTGGATTTAAAGGATCGTGTTCCCTTCTCTCCGGTGGGAACGTTCCACCAGGCTGGAGATGGAATCGCTCCTCAGCCTGTGCTGCCTGCTGTGCTGCCAGGAGCAGGACACCCTGGCATCCCTGGCAGGGGCTCTGGCTACACCCAGTTCTCTGCTAGCAGCTCTTCCTGCTTTGTCACCACTGCCCACCAGGACCAGGGAGCTCCACTCACTGGGCAGCCGTGGGTTTTGGCCCAGAGGGCCGGGAGGCACTGGTGAGCGCTGGGCTTTGAGCCCTTCTGCTGGGTGAGGACAGTGCTGCAGGACCTGCAGGCATCCACCCACACAGCCCCCCTGGAGCTCACAAGCACCTCGGGCTGCCCGGTCTCTCAGGAGACAGCAGAGCTTTCAGGTGGGCACTGCCTTCCTCCTTCCGAGCCTGCACGAGAAAACACAGCAGCTTGTTCCCTCTCCCCTCCCTGCCCGTGGCCTGCTCCCAGTTTGCACCCGGGAGGAGCAGGGCTGGGTGACAACCTCCCGCCCTGTCCAGGCAGGCTGTGGAGGCATCTGCAGCCTGTGCCCTGACAGCCCTGCCCAGCAGCTACACCGCCCTGTCTCCAGGGATTGCTCCGAGCCGTCCAGACTCTGCGGCCTGCCAGCTCTGCATCGATCCCTGTCACTCCCACCGCCCGGCAGAGGTGGCAGAGTCCTGCTCAGGGCTGGGGGATGGGGGCCAGCAGAGGCTGTTCCAGGCAGGGGGGAGGACGATCCACCCGGGGAGGTGTCAGGCTCCCCTCGGGGAAGCACCCGAGCTGCCGCCGTGCTCGCTGGCTCGGCTCTT